GATCCGGACGATGCTGCGGTTGTGGCTGCATCCAGCCCACCGTCTCCTGGACTTGCCATAAGAAGGAGGAGGGAGATGTCTAGGCTGGCATGTGCATACAGTGAGACAACGAATTTGACTGGATCTGTACTGTTGGAACTCAACCAGGAGTTGGGAGGGGTGCAAGTTGTAGCACCCCAAAATCTCATGACTATAGACTATCTATGGTTAAAAGAACATATGGGATGTGAACAGATCCCAGAAATGGGCTGCTTTAATTTGTCTGATGGTTCAAGTACAGTTGGAAAATATCCATCATATCATAGATAAATTTTCACAAATGCCTAGGGTGCCTAAATGGTTTTCTTGGCTTCACTGGAGATGGCTGGTAATTATAGATTTGCTTTGTTTATGTCACCGTATTCCTATTATGTTAATATGTGTGTGCAAATTAGTTAGTAGTTTAAAACCTATACATACTTAAGGTACTATACAAGAAGATATGTCAAAGAAATAATCAATCCTCCCAAGTTTCCTTCATATGCTACATCTATAGCTTTTCTTCTTCCTTCCTAATTACAACCCTTAAATAGAATTCGTGCCTCATATCGAATTTACCGAGTATCATAATTCCTCCAGGTGGTAAAGATACCTCGAGACAAGTGCTGGGCATAGAAGCCACAGGGCATAAATCTGCAAAGAAGTAAAAAGCTAACCTTTGCAAACAATATGGCTTCTCTCTCACTTACCAACTTTACATTTCCCTGTATGGCCCCGGAAGATGACTGGTTAGCCAGAGACGGGTAAGATTCCTCAAGGGAGGAACAACCTAAGACAGGCACAGTCGCAGGGGGGCCATCAGGTGAGAATTTGGGGATCAACAGAGGTGAGGCTCAGAACCTCACCCCCCCTGCTTTGAGAGAAATCTTCTGCATCCGTGGATGTCTTGCTGCCCTTGTCTAGCCTGGATTAATACTTAGTCCATAGGCACACACCTGATCATCTGATCATCTACATTTGCCCTCTTACAGCACTAAACTATGTTTTCTACCTTTATCTTGCATCTACCTACCACTTCAGCATTTTATTAAAAATAAAAATAATAATAATAATAGGAGAAATGTGGGATCAACATATAAATCAAGTACAAAAATCAAACGAATATTCATATTTGACCTGATTGTTTATAGTTCATAATACGTGATCAAAACCGAAAGTTCTGATGAATGCCCTTGTACTGTTCACCATGTAAGAATTTTTTCACTATGTAAGAATTCGTTCACCATGTAAGAACTTGTTCGTTATGCTTCAGAAGATTGGAGACTGACGAGCATTAGGCCTGAGATGGATTAATGATTGTGCATTGAGCACTGACCCCCCTATACAGAATTTTATTGTTGTTAACAACCATTTGATCAATAAATATGAGAGATGCCCTCTTAAAAAAAAGAAAAAAAAATGGGCAGAGGATCTGAACAGACACTTCTCCAAAGAAGAAATTCAGGTGGCCAACAGGCACATGGAAAGATGCTCCACATTACTAATCATCAAGGAAATGCAAATTAAAACCACAATGAGATATCACCTCACACCAGTTAGGATGCCCAACATCCAAATGACAAGAAAGAACAAATGCTTGGGAGGATATGGAGAAAGGGGAACCCTCCTACATTGTTGATGGGAATTAAATTAATTCAACCATTGTGGAAAGCAATATGGAGTTTTCTCAAAAAACTATAAATAGAAATAACATTTGACCCAGGAATTTCCCTCCTAGGAATTTACCCAAGAAAAGAAGATCCCTGATTCAAAAATAAATATGCACCCCTATGTTTATTGCACCACTATTTACAATAGCCAAGTTATTGAAGCAACCTAAGTGTCCTTCAGTAGACAAATGGGTAAAGTAGAGGTGGTACAGATACAGAATGGAATATTATTTAGCCATAAAAAGATAACAAATCCTAGCATTTGCAACAACTTGGATGGAGCTAGAGGGTCATTATGCACAATGAAATAAGCCAGGTGGAGAAACACAAGTATCAAATGATTTCACTCATTCGTGGAGTATAAGAACAAAGCAATACTGGAGGAACAAAACAGCATCAGACTCACAGTTTCCAAGAGGGAGCTAGTGGTTACCAAAGGGTAGGGGTTGGGACAAGTGGGTGGGGAGAGAGAGGGAAGGGGATCAAGGGGTATTATAATTAGCACACACAATATAGGTAGGTCACAGGGAAAGCAGTATAGCATGGAGAAGACAAGTAATGATTTTATAGCATCTTTCTATGCAAATAGTGACTGAAATTGAATGTGCAAGGAACTTGATAATATGGATGAATGCTGAAACCACAATGTTGCTCATATGAAACTTTATTCCATTGTATATCAATGATACTTTAATAATAATAAAAAAGCATTAGACTCATAGACACTGAGAATGGACTAGTGGTTACCAAAGGGGAGGGTCGATGGGGAGAGAGAAAGGGATTAAGGGGCACTGTAATCACAATATAGGTTGGTCACTGGGACAGTAGTACAGCATGGAAAATACAGTTAATGACTATAACATCTTAACTACATTGACAGTGACTGCAATGGAGGGGGTGAGGTCTTGATAATATGGGTGAACATTGAACCACTATGTTGTGTATGTGAAACCATCATAAGATTGTCTATCAATGATACTTTAATTTTTAAAAAGTGATTGTCTTAAGGTATGATGGTGGAGAAGTGTGGAATGGGTTAAAAGACTTGCTTTTTATTATAAGTTCTTCTGCATTGCTTATTTTAAAGGAGAACACATATGACTTTGATAAAAATATTTAAAATCATAGAAAAAAGTCTCACATTTATATGGGTAGACTGCAAATTATTCACTTGTAGAGCCAAGTAATGTGCTATAACTGTGTATCCTTGTTTAGAAGTCACCCTCTGGGCCACTTCAAGTAGAATGTATCTAAAATAAAGAGAAATATATTCTGTTTGAATCTTAGAATTATTTTGATTTTCCTTTTGTTTGAAGTATGACTTTCATGGTTAGCTTTTTTTCAATGTTTTTAAGCACTTTTCAAATCCAGTTTCTCAGTCATACCCTCTATTATATGGGGTACCATTTTATCACCAAATACAAACCTCCTGGATCCATTCAACATACTGATCTTATCTAAATTGATTAACATTTTTATTTCCTTTCTTCTTTTTTTTTTAAAATAAACAATGTTTTTTCTTAGATGTTGATTGATCCTTGGCTGTGCATTAATACTTAAGAATGAAGGTCTACTTCAGTTTTTTTAGGGAGCTAGTATCCTGTGTTTTTTAGGGAGCTAGTATCCTGAGGTGATATCTTCTCATTGTTCTCACTCATGAATGTGAAGATTACTTGGGAACTTTGTAATGTGGGTGGGATAAATTAATCCATAAGCTTTCTTAGAGCTGGTATGGTCTGGTAGCCATCAAATAAGCAGGGTGTCTCTCAAATACTAAAATTAAGAGGTTTTTGCTGTGGAGTGTCATGAGCACCAGTTTTCCCAAATCGTTCATTTAATTAAAATGAAAAACAAGTCTTCAGGATTTTTTTGTTTTGTTTTGTTTTGGGTTTTTTTGCTTAACAGTATATATCGATCTACCAGCAGATTTTTGTCTGATGGTAAATATCCATCTCCCTGCAGCTTTGGGGTTTGAAATGATGGTGGAGAAAACTGGCACCACTATTTCATTACAGACCTTCAATTAAGCCTCTTGTCCACAGTCATTCTCCTTCTAGCCCTTTCAAATTACTAATTCCTAACTGATATCCTTTCTAGGGTTCTAGTGACCAACTGGTTCTCTCCATGGAGCCATTTGAAGTGTGTCTAGGCAAGCCTTCTACATAGTTTTGTCCAACAGGATGCTAATATCTATTTTTGGTTTTCCAGAAATGAGGTAAAATTTCTCTTCTGCTCATGAACTCTATTCTCTCTGTTAAGGTCTAACTTTCTGTATATTTTCATTTCAAGGAGTTCTGGAAAGATAGAAAGTGAAAATATGTGCTCAGTCTACCATTTTGTTAAAATACACATACATACACTTGTCTGTCTTATATATGTGTCTTCTTTACTGAAGTTCCTCTTATAAGGGCAAGGATGTACTGTAAAATGCCTAGTAAGTGCTAAGAATATAATAGGTATTCAAAGGTATGCAGCTGGTCAGATTTGAATGTGGGATAAAAGCAGTTACAAATGACAGAAAAGCTTAAGCCTAGATGACAAGTATGCTGATAGAAACCATCAAAGAAATGTATATTTTTTAAACTATTATTTTAGTATGGGAAATCAATGGTTGTACCTTGGCATAGGTATTACGGCTTTGATAAAGAGGCCAAAGAGTCAAATAATGGAAACTATTTTGCAAGATTCGATTAGCTGATACAGAGGTGTTTTGTGTGGTAGAAACAGAGCCATACCACTTCACATAAAATGATCAGGCACCGAGAGTTGCTGCTATATGAGAGAAAAGAATGAAATCACTTTAACTCTTGGCTCTCACCCAACTAAGTAAGTCAACTTGAAATATTCCTTATGCCAATGAGAGCAGCTCTACCTATATTAGAGCATGATAAGTAAGTGCTATATTAATCCAGATATAGCCTACTATTAAACTTCAAGTCTTTAAGAGTAGGTACTGAATAAATATTTAATGAGTGAATGTATTCCTAACACCTGCTCAGGTGATTCCTGAATCAAGAAATAAAGTTTTAGAGGTGACAGCCAAATTAGCCTTTTAGTGATACTTTCATTGATCATAGCCATTATCAAAGTGTCTGGCTTTGATCAGGAACTTGATAAATATTTGTGAGGCCAATGAGATAATTAATTAATGTTAACTTTTTGATCTATAAATAAACCCTGCTTTTAAAGCAAAAGTGGTACACAAATCTGTAAACATACTAAAAACTATTGAACTGTATGTTTTTAACAAGTGAATCTTATGATATATAAATTACATCGCAATAAAGCTGCGAAAAAATGAAATAAACTCACAAGGAAAGTTTTCCAGGCCTTCTGAATGACTCTGGCAGCCTTATCCCTTCTTATAAATTCTGACTCCTGTTTCCAAGGCATTTGAAAGTCCTAAAATATGCAAAAAGGATATATTTAAAGTTACTTTACATACTCTATTATGAAACTCACTACAATTCAATGAAAATTAAATAGAAAGTTGTACAAAGGAAATAATGAAAATGAATTGGGGTATCAAAATAATTGTAATAAAAACAAAAATTGTTACCTATTATTGATTGCCTAATATGTTCCCATTCACTGCTTTTTTCTAGTTTGAACAATCCTGCATAGCAGATTTTACTAACATACTTGCATTAGAGATAAGGAGACTGAGCTTCAACACCCAAAGTCAAAGAGTGACTGACTAAGCCAGTATTGAACCCACATCTATTTGTCTTGAAAATCCATGACCTTTCCCTAGCCCATCCAGTGACTTCAAAGAAGCTTTTCTTGCTCAACATGCCCGTAGACAGAGGTTCATTTGCAAATGTACCCAGGAACCTAACCTAGAAGTAGAGATGATTATAGACTTTTTCTTTATAACTCTTCAATTTGCTGAGAATACTTAATAAATCACATATTAAACTATCAAAAAAGAGATTAATATTGACTATTAAGGACCAAAACAAAATCACTAGTTCTAATCATAATTGTTATCGATACTGTGAAGAAATGAATAATACAAAAATTAAAAATCTATTTTAGTTTAAGAGTCCTTAAAGTGTTGCAGTAGACAGGCTTCTGGGAAGATAGGAAGCACCAGGAATCTGTCTCCCCATCTAGATAACAATTGCCCTGGAAGAATCCAGTTTAACTATTTTGGAATCTCTGGAGTCTCTTGAAGTCTTGCAACTTCCAGGGGAAGATGTGGAGGGTAAATTGTGGTTAATTTTTGTCAATTTTAGCTCTTATTCCAGCACCAGCTACCCATTTCCTCACTGCACCCCAAGAGGATATTGTACACAGCTTCTGGGAACCAGAGTGGAGAAAAAGGACTCTGTGTATGCTCTACAGATTGGAGATCTGTACTATGTTGATTGTGGTTCTGATCACAGAGGTGCAGACAAACAGGAGGGCAGCATTTTTGCACCCTTGTCCCCATTATTAAAGTCCCTCCTCCTCTGGCTGGTGACTTCCAGGGGGTTTAAATGGATAATGCCCCTTTCCTCCCCTCCACAGTGTCTTCTTTTCCCCTTTTGGGAGCCAAACATTCAAGACTAGGACATTCAAAAACAGCTGCACATATGGAGAAAGTAAGAAAGTGATGAGGCATGCCCAGGGAAGGCACAATCTCAGTAAAGATCTGAGATGACCCTTAGTTTACAATTCAGGCTGATCCTTGGCCAGTCTTCATAACCTGTAGAAAGAGCCTACAACACCAGTAACAACAACAGAAAACTGGGGATGGGAAAGAATTTGATTTGCAGAGTACTGCATTATTAAATTAAAATGTCCAGTTTTCAACAAAAATATCACAAGGTATACAAAGAAACACAAAAGTATAGTCCATTCAAAGGAAAATAAAATCAAGAGAAATTAACCCTGAGAAAAACCTGATGGCAGATCTATTAGACAAAGAATTTAAAACAACTGTCTAAGAGATGATCAGAGAAATAAGGATGATGTGGATGAAATGATGTATGCACAAACTGGAAATATCTAAAACCTCAAAACAGAGCAAATAGAAATTCTGAAGCTGAAAAGTAAGATAACTCAAAGGAAAAATCCATTAGAGTGACACAAAGGTTGAAGAAAGACTCAGCAAACTTGAAGATAGACCAATGGAAAGTGTCAAGTCTGAGGAACAGAAAGAAAAAAAGATTGAATTAAATTGAATAGAGCCTAAGAGACCCATGGTACACAGAAAGTAGACTAACATATATATTGTGGGAGTTGCCAAAAGAGAAGAGAAAGTGAAAGGAGTAGACAGAATATCAATGGCAGAAAACTTCCCACGTTTGATGAAAAACATGAATATAAATATCTATGAAGTTCAAAACTCAAAGTAAGATGAATCAAAGGTAGCTACCCCAAAACATTTTATAAGTAAACTTTCAAAAGCCAAAAATAAAGTCTCTTAAATGCAGCAAGAAATAAGTGATTTGTCTCATATAAGGAATTCTTAATATGTTTATTAACAGATTTCTCAATATAAACTTTGAAGACCAGAAGGCAGTGGGTCAATATATTAAAACTGATAAAAAAAATGTTAACCAAGAATCCTATATCTAACAATACTGTCCTTCAAGAGTGAAGAAGAAATTAAGTCGTTGCCAAATAAACAAAAGCTGAGGGAGTTCATTACCACCATGAGATCTGCCCTGCAAGAAGTGCTCATGGGAGTACTTAAGGGTGAAATGAAAGGCTATGTGACAGTAAATTGAAGCTAGTTGAAGAAATAAAGATCCCAATAAAGGTAAATACATGGGCAATTATAAAACCTAGGCAATTATTGTTATAGAAATGGCTTATAGCTCTCTTTTCTGTTTTCTACATGATTAAAGAGAATATGTTTAAAAATTAGTCTAAAAGTGAGCATTATTGTATCTTTTGTTAATAATTTCACATGCTGTTTTCTTCATAATTTATGAGACAAATGTATGTAAAAGAAGTATTATATTATGTTTTGGGGAATACAATGTATAAAGATGTGATTTTGTGACATCAACAATTGAAAGGAGTTGGGATGGGGCTGTAAAGGAGGAGAGTTTTGTATGTTATTGAAGTTAAGCTAGTATAAATTTACACTGAAGTGTGAATTGTTATATCTTTTGCATTTTGAACCTTTTGTTAATATATAATGTCCTACTCTGTCTTTTATAATCTTTGTTGATTTAAAGGTAGGATGTAAATGTAAGGATTTACATTTACAAGCTTTAGGATGGTAAATGTAACCCCCATGGTAACCACAAAAGAAATAGCTATGAAATATACATGAGAGGAAATGAGAAAGAAATGTAAATGTTTAACTATAAAAAAATCAACTAAGCACAAAAGGAGACAGTAATGTAGGATATGATGGACAAAAAAGTTATAAGACATGTAGAAAACAGGGGATTAAAGATGGCAGCCTGAGAGGCGAGACAGCAACCTCCTCCTAAAACTGAATATAATACAAAAATGTAATTAATACAGTTAATCCTGAAAGAGCAACAGGAAGAGGGCTGTGCCAGACTGCATACACCTGAGAAAAGAATAGACCTCAGGGAACAGGATAACATACCGAAGCCATGGCCAGGTGGCACCCATGCCCTTCCCCCACCCCAGCTCACTGGCAGTAGGAAGAGAAACAGAGCAGGGTGGGAGTGGAGGCCTGGGACTGCTGAACACCCAGCTCTGGAGATGTTCTCTGGGAGCATAAACCTACATTTCATGGTACTATGGTGATTAGGGGGGGAAAACAGGGATCCATATCTGGCTGCTCTGGGACAAAGAAAGGTGGGAAGTCTGAGTGACTTCCTAACAGCGAGAGGGCTGCTAAAGGGGCAAGGACTGCACAGAGCTTACTGTGCAATCAGGAGAAAGGACAGGTAGACAAAATTGTCCGAGTGCACTCTTCCCAGTAGTTTGGGAACATTCAGGATCTTTAGGTGCGCAAGCCCCCTAGACGGCTACACAACTCCACGGTCACCCTTCATGATATGCAGCCTGCTGTGCCTTCCTCCCGGCCAGCCTGCATCTGACTTGAAAACCTGAAAACCCTGCCCTGGCGTCAGGCCAGAGAAAGGGAAGTCCCACCTACAGCAGCTACAAATGCAAAGCATAGAGGCTTACACCTGGGTGCTCAGCCCACTGGTTCTGTCATAGGAGATAGGCATAGCAACCAGGAAGCAGGAAACAGCTCTTTCCTCCCCTAAGGCAACAACACGACTCCACTGTGACTCCGAACATTGTTCCAGGGGCTGAGTAGCTCCAGAGAGTAGAGCTTCCAGACACTAGAGGGTGCCATATACAAATATGAAACATCGAAGGAACCTGGTTCAAAGCAAAATTATACATACACCAGAGAAAGACTGAAATGAAACCGAACTCATGAATCTTCCTGAAAGAGATTTCAAAATAAAAATCAGAAATATGCTCATGGAGGTATAGAAAAGTACTCAAGAACTCAGGAATGAACTCTGGTCAGAGATCCAATCATTATGGAACACAGTGTCAGAAATGAAACATACAATGGAAAGTTTTAAAAGCAGATTAGATATGGTGGAGGAGACAATTCATGAAACAGAAATTAGAGAAGAGGAATACAAAGAAGCTGAGGCACAGAGAGGAAAAAAGATCTCCAAGAATGAAAGAATATTGAGAGAACTGTATGACCAAACCAAATTGAAAAATATTTGTATTATAGGGGTACCAGAAGAAGAAGAGAAAAAGGGATAAGTGTCTTTGAGGAGGTAATTGCTGAAAACTTCCCCAATATGGGGAAGGAGATAGTCTCTCAGGCTGTGGAGGTACACAGATCTCCAAACACAAGGGACTCAAGGAGGACAACACCAAGACAGACAATAATTAAAATGGCAAAGATCAAAGATAAGGACAGACTATGCAAAGCAGTCAGAGAGAGAAATAGGATCACATACAAAGGAAAACCCATCAGGCTATCATCAGACTTCTCAGAAGAAATCTTACAGGCCAGAAGGGACTGGCATGATATATTTAATGAAATGAATCAGAATAGCCTCAAACCAAGAACACTTTACCTCGCAAGATTATCATTTAAATTTGAAGGAGAGATTAAACAATTTCCAGATAAGCAAAAGCTGAGAAAATTTACCTCCCACAAACCATCTCTAAAGTGTATTTTGGAGGGACGGCTATGGATGGAAGTGTTCCTAAGGTTTAATAACTGCCACCAGAGGTAATTAAACCACAGTAAAGAAAGTAGAACAGTTCATTATGAAGCAAATGCAAAATCAAATCAACTATCCCCAAAGTCAGTCAAGGGATAGACAAAGAGTACAAAATATGATACATAATATATAAAGAATGGAGAAAGAAGAAAAAGGAGGGAAGAAAAAGAACCTTTAGATTGTGTTTGTAATAGTATACTAAATGACTTAAGTTA